TCACGCTGGTGGGCGGAAATCGTGGTTCTCAAGTTTGCTCAGGGGACCAAGCGCCTGGGAGTCTCCGCAGAACCTGGGCTCTTTACACAGCTTCAAATACGGATGTGTGTGATTGTATCACATGAACTGATTCTACTGCACAGAGGAGTGAAACAGACTCGCTGCCTGCAGGGGGCTAACGTTTTATCACAAGCGGCAGACAAGATATACAGGAAGGATATAATGTGATCATGAGAACCCATCTTACTACCAGAAAATAGAACCACCTGACCTGTGCACACTGCAAAGTTATAATCACAAGTGCACGAGTTAGTGAATAAAACTAGCTCTTTAAATACTGGTCCCTATGCAATTTTCTCCATTATTTCTTAACCGCTTGCTCATTTTGCCACGTGCCAGCTCTTGCGGGCAGACAAGTAGAGCATTCCACCCCAAACCAAGAAAATCCTATTCGTTAACAATTTCTTCTGTAAATGGACTGGCTCAGCACTCTTCAAACTTTGGTGTGCGCACATGTCACCTGGGGATCTTGTTAAAGTGCAGATTCTGACCAAGGAGGTCCTGCAATTCTGTCCTTTATCAAACACCTAAGTGATAAAAAGAACTGCGAGTTCCAGGATGACACTGGAGTAAGAGAAGCACCTACAATCGTCAGCCGTTGGAGGCCTAACAGCGGCACCTGGTTCACGGAGGTGATCAGCACAAAGGCACTGTGGCAGGCAGGAGAGGAGGGGGCTCTGCGGAATGCGGCCCCGGACCAGCCCCAGTCTCACCAACCCTCAGACTTCATCTGTGTGTGTGTGCACGCACTTTAAAGGGTAACAACACCGCCTTTCCCAAAGTCATTTGTAAAGATTAGACAATGCACGTAAAACATCTAGCACAGAGCCTGACGTGTGGTCACCCCTCAATGAATGGTAGCTGCTTTTACTTTCGGGGAACAAGTAAAGAGGCTAGAGGACGCATGAACAGAAGAACCTCAGGATCTAAAACTCTCTTTAAAACTTAATTACTCTATTACAGTAACTGCTGTATCACCATATAACAACAGAACCACTGGGTTACTTCCATTTATAGAATGAATTTTGATTGTAAGATAAAATCTAATTGGCTTCACGAGAGACGTGTAACACCTGTTGAATTCAATATTAAAGAGAGCTCACTATTCAAAAAAAATAGACAAAGCTTCATTTTGGTATTATAATGACCTTGAACATAATCTGGTAAAAAATGTTTGTACTCTAATAAAGAATATATATTATTCAATTATTCTTTCATAATTATAAATCTGTACATTTAAATTTTATCCCTTAGGTGCTACTATATCAACAATCATGAGATCAATAAAACTGATTTAATTGCAAAGTATCCCCTTTTCCTCGATGGCTTCCATGTTTCAGGTCTTAAAAGCATCATTTCTTTTTGTTGCCTTTGAGGAAGAGATGTTCTGTTGACTTGTCTGAGAAGACACGGGTGGAGCCGTTGGGACTGGACAGGACAGGCAGGACCCAGATGCTTGCGTCCTTACGCCATCGCTGGCACAAGACTCCAAGCCACAGACACACCCCACGTGCCTGCACCTGCTACTCCCGTACCTCGTCTTCTTGACCTGGATGCTGCTGCTGAGTTTCTCCAGCACATACTCCCCGGTGTCGTGGTTAATGATGAGCACACAGTCCTTCTGGTACGGCCGCTTGTTCCCCTTGAACACAGTCATGGGTGGCGTGGACCCCTGCATGCCACAGAAGGGTAACTGAGACGGTCAGACTGAACACCACAGTCGTGAACATTGACACTGAGTCTACCGGGGACTCGACCTCATCAAATCTTTTATCAGAGCTACTCAAAAAGGACTGGAATGAACTGATCTGCAGTTTAACTCTTTCTGGTTTCCCAAGCGAAAATAAAGAGGAAATAATACAGCAAGAACCCGTGACTGTGCGACTGGCTCTAAGTAATCAAGAAAGGTGATACACAACTTTAAAATTACTGTACGTTCTTCCAGCGATGGGGCAAACGGTACAAATAATGGTGAGGTGTGAACTAAGAAAAGTCAACGAACCATGACTTGTCACCGTGAGAAGCAGAGCCGCTGAGTGATCTCTGTATCCCCTTGTAAGTGGGGAGCCCAGCGATGTCCCTTCAGACAAGTCACCACAGAGCACTCCCCATGGCAGCCCCTAATTCTGATTAGTTTTAAGTAAGCACATCACGCCATTCATCTGCCCAAGGCCTTCCCTCACGACCTGGCCCTTCAGCCGCACCCCAGGACTCCGCTGGCCTCCTGTCAGACCCTCGAGCCCCTTCGTGCAGGGATTTAACAAGGCTTCTGCCTGCAACATGCCAACCCCTCCCTCCCTTTCAATTATCCAACCTTCAAATCTGCTCAAAAGTCACTTCCTCAGGGAAGCCTTCCAGGATTTTCTAAAAATAAACGCTATGTTTTCTTATATTTAAACCCCATAAAGGCAAGAAATGTGCTTGTTTTGTTCAAGACTGTATTCTCAGTGCCTAGTAATGAGCCAGCCCACCAGGAGGTGCTCAATTAATATTAGACAAATATAGCATTTAATCCCCTGTATGGAATCAAAACTGCTTGGCTCCTTGACTCTTTATTCATACAATAAAAATTTAGACTTGTAAGGGACCATAGGGACCATTTATCTAATCCCTTCCTTTCACATCTGGGAAACTAAGGTCCAAAGGGAGATGATGTAATTTGTCAAAGGCAACAAGTAATGAGGTGGCAGGTGGAACCGGCAGACAGTAATTCTTCCTCAGCACCAACCTTCCCAGGGCTCCCTGTCCAGATCTTTTCATTCTATCCCTGGTTACCAAGAACTTCCAATGTTCCAGGACAGGGCTAGGGCGTGCGATGACAACTGTTCATTAAGAGTATCTTGTCTGTTCCTTTGGATTTTGTGATCAGACTGCTGCCTCGGGCAAGGCTTCAAAACAGTCTCTCTGCAAGGATTCCTCATCCTTACCTGAGTTAAATACTCTGAACCTCTGGTTCCGCCTGAAACTACCAGCCTGCACATCACCTCTTGCCAGATACATGAACCATGTTGCCCCTGCCTTCCCACGCTCCTAAGCTGTTACAGGCTTTGTATCCGCAGGGCGCCCAAGACTTTCCTCTCTACAGTTGATTGGGGGGAAATGGCAAAGAATTATTTTTACTCAAGTACCTGGGAAGCATGAATTCTATCCCACCCACCCCAAACCCCCCAAAAATTCTTTTTCCTTATAATGGCACTTTGGAAATCTAGAACGTTTTACACAGGAGAAAATCAAATTACAACAACATAGGATATAAGGATTCACAGTGATCCCACATTAAAACAATGGAGTAAAACTCACAGGGATATGTGGCAGCGTAATTGTGACTTCATCTCCTTTGCCAACCTGAAGCTCTCCTTCACAGGAAGTGTCTATAGATGCTGGCTTAAAGTCATCTAAAGGGCAATAAGAAAAAACATTTACCCACCAGATTACCTACAATGAAGGCTTCCAGAGCATTCTCACTAAAGAACTGAAATTTTTTATAACTCAGATAGACAGAAAATACAAACCACTCAGGCTTTTTTAAAAAGCTACTTCACTGTGGAAAACTTCTCACATGCCAAAGCAGAGGGAATAACACAATGAGCCCTGTGTACCATTACCCAGCCTCAGTAACTACCAGCTCCGGGACAATCTTGTTTCATCTATACCCCCACCTACTTTTCCTCCCATCCCCACTGAGTTATTTTGAAGGGGGAAAAAAGCTAGAATTTATACCCCATTTTATTAAGCAAAGATATTCCCTTCCCCCAAGTGACAGATGAACATTAACACCTTATTATTCATAATGAGGTGTTTTATTAAGGTTATTATAAGGATCAAAAGCAACAGGGCACATTTTAAAACATCCCATGATTGTAAAATCCACAGTGAAATATAAAAAGCCGTGGCATCCTGTAAGCTGATTTCATTTCCCACAGGAACTCTCAGAGTTAGGATGTGCCACTCAACTTCCACAGCTTTAACCAAGATACTCCTGCAGATGTTCGGAGCAGGTGCCTGAACTCTATTTCCAAAGATGAATCCTGCCCACATTTCTAAACTGCTAAAGCACAACACAAACAGCTGTCTTACACCACTGTAACACACACCTGCCTCAAACTGCAGGCCAAGTGCTTCTCTGAAGGGTCTCACTGAAATCCCACACTGCCCTCCACGCTACTAAAACACCAGCCTAGTAAACCGCTCAGGAAATGACGCCCATATCACGTTGCCAATGTCCTCCCTCTGAAAGGGCTGATCTGCTGTCAGAAGGAAGCACAGTAATGGCCCGGCCAAGTGACCACACAAACATAGACCTTCATTATCTAACACGCCCTCTTCCAATGCGTTGAGTCACATCTGGAAGCCCCTTAGACAAAAACAAGTCTTAACCAGCACGAAGGCTACCAGGTTGGGGAAGCCTGGGAATCACAGAGGGATGCTCCAAAGGCCAAATCTTTACCCGGGGCACAAAGTGGAAGCCCTCCCTCAACAGAGTCCGTCATCATGCAGAAAAAGGAAGTCCAGCATAAGGACTGTTTCCACATTCCTTATGCCTGCTCTCTTCTGCTTCCAAATAGAGATCCAGTTTCAACTTCCTCCTGGCTCACAAACTCTAATTTTATTCTTCACCCACGAGGAACTTGGTCCCCAGGAAGAGTCAGGGGGAGGTGACCTCAAGAGACATCAAAGTCACACAAAAAGCTGGCACGGAGAAGTGGAGGAGGAAGATTGATGAGGCGCAGGGAGGATGCAGATTCCCGGGCTGCGCAGGGGATGAAGCGGGGGTGAGGGCGGACAGAACCAAAACGGACGAGTTAAGAAAAGTGATGAGAACAGGGAAGGGGAGAATGGAATAGGAGGGAGAGTGGAAGAGACTCCGGACAAAACTGAGGAGTCCTTGGAGCGTGGAGACCCCGGTGGGGAAGTAGAGGGGGCGGCTAGGGAGAAGCACTGGAGTCTGATGAGGGGGGTCACAGCCTCGCGGGAAGAAAAAGGGGGACTTCGGCGCGCGGGAGGGCATGGTGAGGCATGAACGGAGAAAGGGGCGGCTGATCTTCGGAAGAAGCATGTGGGACCACGAGGCACAGGAACAGTAGGGAGGGACGAAGGGTCAGGTCTAGGAGGAGTGAGATGAGAAAAACAAAAGGAAAAGACGAGAGGTTCCGGCGGATATGGGGTGGGAAGAGGGAGCTGACGCTGGCGGGGCCCCCTGGACCTTGGGGGAGCCGAGGTCTGCCGGAGACGGCCGCGGAGCCGCGGACTCACAGCGGATGGTGTGGAAGGAGGCACGCGGCCGCTTCTCGAAGCTCTCCCCGAGCCGCAGGCAGTGCTCCTCGCGGTCCAGCAGCGGGTTGGCCGTCCCGTTCATGGCCGCGCACGGGCCTCGCGCCCGTAGCGGCGCTCTCCTGGTGCGTCCGC